TCCTTTACTTTAGTTAATTAATAACTAAATTAACTAATACTATTAGTAAGTAGTAGTACGGTACGTAACTAACTAATATATATTATTATGTGTGTGTGTGTATATATATATATATATATATATATATATATATATATATATATATAAGCTTAGCTTTGTGCTGGGTGTGTAGCAGTAACCAAAGACAGGAGGCCCCTTATATATAAAGTCCAGAGAAGATACCATTTATTTGTAAGATAAATATAACGAGATTAATTTTGGCTATTTATTTGATAGATAGAAATAAAGTTGTCAAACCTTTGACTCATAATAGAATCTAAAATTTTCTTCTAAATATAAATAACACAGTGCCGCCTATCCCAGGTCACGTCTTCTGCGTTTTATCTGCTACGCGGTCATCTTCAGTTAGAATGACGTCTTCAAATGTTCTACCATTAAAAGGATACAAGTTGGGGTCCACGCCAGCTGAGATGAGGAAGAGGGAACTGGGTTTACTCTTTGGCCTGAAGTAAGTAACAAATAAATGCAGAACATGTAGGAAGTAGTGTAATTCAGGGTATCAGACAGCGGGGGTCCTGTACCCTGAGATTTGGGAAGGAGGTGACAATTTAATGTATCTACAGGCAAACCATGGAAAATGTAAAGACTCAGATGACTTAAAGAAAAGGGGAGACCTGTTGCATGCAGACCGTCATCAGACAGTGAGGGAAGCTGAATTAATTCAGACAAATCCGACTTCAGAACAAGGAAGATTAAAATAAATAAGGAAGGCATTACATAACAATAAAGGTGTCAATATTTTAAAAATGTACAGCTAATATTTTAAGAGTGAGAAATGGACATTTTTCCAATAAGACCAAGAACAAGGCATGGTGTCCTATTCCACATGGCACTGGAGGTCTTAGCTAATACAAAATAAAAGAGAAGAAAGGATGGAGGGGGTGGAGAGACAAGGGAAAAATGTACAGATTAGAAAGGAAGAAATTACACTGTTTTTAGTTGCAGCTAGCAAGGTTGACTACGCAGAAGATTCCAGACACTCTTTAAAAAAGTCTTGGAACTATTAAGTATAACAAGATGACAAGACACAAAGTTGCTGCACAAAAGCAGAGTGTTTACCTGTAAACCACCGAGCAACTGAAATTTGAAATTAAAAAAATATATATATCCCATTTACAATAGTACTAAAACACAAAATATTTATGTATGTCTAATTAAACATGTACAGATCTCTATGTGGAAAACTACAAAACTCTGATAAACCAAAGGTCTAAAGTAACTGAGAGATGTTCTATGTTCACATGTTGTGAAGACTGTTAAGTTGTGAGTTCTCAACACGATTTACTGATTCAGTCCAATCCCAGTCAAACTCCCAGCAAGCTGTTTTGTAAATACTGACAAACTGAATCTCAGGTACATGTAGAGAGGCCTGAAATAGCCACATAGCACTGAAGAAGAACAGTCAAGAGGGTTGACAGGACAACTTCAAAACGTCCTGTAAAACTGCTGTGATGAAGAGCCTGTGATCCTGGCAACACACCAGACGTAAACATCAGAGGAACAGCATAGGGAGCCCAGAAACAGGTCCACACAAACAGAGTCACCCGATTGTTGGCAAAGGAACAAGGGGAACTCAAGTGAGAAAGGAAAGTCTTTAAAACAAATGATGTTGGAACAACTGGGCATCCTTAAGGGGAAAAATGACCTTAGACAAAGACCTTGCGCCTTTCACAGAAATTAACTCAAAATGGATCTTAGACTTAAATATGCACAGGCCAATGATAAAGCTGCCAGAAGGAAACCTAGGAGAGAAGAGGAGACTCTGGGTTTGGTGGTGAGATTTTGGATACGGCTGCCAAAGCAGAGTCTGTGACAGTGACAGCTGACAAGATGGACTTCACTAAACCAGAAGCTTCTGCTTTGCGAAAGACACTGTCAAGTGAAGACAGACAAACCGAAGACTGGAGGAAATGTTTGCAAAACGTGTGTATCTGCTAAAGCACATGTTTCCAAGTCTTCATACCCCCAAATATTTAAATCAACAGTAAGAAAGCAAACAATTCATTGAAATAATGGACAGGAGATCTGATCAGACACCTGAGTAGAGAAGATACACTGCTGCAAATATGCCTCTGGAAGGATGCTCCACGCTGTTTGTTATCAAAGAATTGCAAGTTAAACTTACAGGGGACACCATGACACACCTGTCAGAATGGCTAAAATCCCCTGTGCACACGTGAGAAACACCAGAGAAGTCTCAGCTGAGGAGCATTCTGCAAAACCCCGATTCTCTTCAAAACCCTCAAGGTCATCAAATACAAGGGAGGTCTGAGAAACAGTCCCAGCCCAGAGCTGCCTTAGGAGGTGTGAGGGCTGAATGTTATGGGGTGGCCTGGAGGGGGTCCTGGGACAGAAAAGGGACTCGAGGTAAAAACTGAGGAAATCTGAATAAAAGATGGGCTTTAGTTAATCCCAGTCTATTAGCATCGCTTCCTTCACCGTAGCACTAGTGCCACATGAATGTTCTTATTTAGAAACTGAGTAAAATGCCTGCAGCCGTATACAGCCGTCCCAAGGTTCTTTGACAGATGTTTCTTAAATGTACCAGAAATTTAAGTGCTCAGTATTGTAACAAAGTCAATAAAAGTCACTGCAGGACTAAGGCAGCAAAGTTCACCCTGAAGACTGGAAGGTACGAACACACGCAGCATGCTGTCGGTGGGAAGGCCGGGGTCCCCAGCGTGACGAAGCCAGGAGAAGGGCAGGCTTTGCCATGGGTTCTCCACCTGACAGTGAGATCTTGTAGCCCCAAAGTATTTCATTACTTACGTTCCAGTTGGACCAAAAAAAAAAAAAATGTCTTGCAGACGCTCCAGGGCTTGTCAACGTGGGAGCTGAACTTTGGTGTAAATGTTTATGCCTTTCCTTGCTCTGGGCTAACACAGTGTTCAGACACAGTTTTGAAAGTGAAACCTGTCATGTTTTCAGAACCACAGGGCCACACTGGGCCATCCAGGTGGCGGCTGGGAGGGTCCTGCCCAGGGTGCTGGCCTGAGGTGCTACGTTGGGAGTGAAGGGGGGAAACAAGGAGGATGGAAAGGACACGTCGCAGAACCCAGGACGGATGTGACCTCGACCGCTGACGCCTGACCTGGAGGGCGAGGAGCCCCGGCCCACCTTACTGTGAGTCGTGCTGGGAAGCCGACGGTGACTAGTGCTGGCAGGACGAGGGAGGCGGGAGGCGGGTCTGCGGCGGCGGCGGCCCGCATGGGGTGCTCAGCCTGCCGCCCAGACAGCCGTCTCCCCTTCTGGGGACGTATTCGCCAGCTGATAAACTGCACCTTACCCTCTCTCCTTCCTGCTCGGAACATGTGTTTGTGACAGAGAGAAAGATAAATAAGGATGATTAAGAAGAAGGTAAACAGGGTCCTAAAGTTATCAATTATTTAACCAGGAATAGATTATTTATCTTTTCTGAGTCTAGGTGAGGTAAACAATGATACTCCAAAGAAGAGGTACTTTTCTTAGTTCAAATAAAATTTACTCCAAGTTCTCCCATGCACATACTTTTAAAATCAATTTTATTGAGGTACTATTTGCATACAATGCAATACATACACTTATAGGCATAATTTGATATGGTCTGATAAATTCACTTGCTAGTTTAATTACTAGTTTTATTTTTATCAGAGTTACACATGGGGCCCATATTATGAACTGAATTGTGTCCCCAGAATTCAGATGCTGAAGTTCTAGCCCTTAGAAGCTCAGAATGTGGCTGTACTTGGAGATGAGGTCTTTACAGAGGTGATGAAGGTGAAATGAGGTTAAGTGGGTGGGTCCTCATCCCCAAGGACTGGTGTCCTTGTAAGAAGAGGAGATCAGGACACAGACACGCGCAGAGGGGAGGCCATGAGATGACTCGGGGAGGAGATGGCCGTCTGCACGCCCAGGAGAGAGGCCTCCGAAGAAACCAGCCCTGCCCACACCCTGCCCGTGGACTTCCCGCCCCCAGGCTGTGAGAAACACCGTCTGCGGAGCTGGCGGGGACGAGCACGGCAGTGACACTCGACTCTCTCCGCACTTTGTTCTGTAATTTATCTCCGTATATCATTCCATTTATCAAGGAGGCATTTTTTTATCGAAGCATAATTTCCAGTGTACAGCATCACGCTTCAGTTGTACGTATACAGATGTATAGTTGACACGTGTGAATACTAACTACGTATGTAAGACAGATAAACAACAAGCGCCTTCTGTACAGCACGGGGAACTGCATCTGGTATCTTCTGTAATCAGTTAAGCAGTAATAAATATTTTCCATGGCTACTTTTACTATAGAAGAGACAGTTATGCCTCACCCTCCCTCATCCCCCAGCCCTCACCCCACCATTCTAACAGAGGGTAATCCAGCCCTAGCTGAAGCCAACGCTCACTTGACCCCCTTGGAGTTAATAATTTTCCCCCTTTCTTCCCTCTGCACCTGTTAGCATTTCTGCCGCACTCTCCACGGTGAAGTCCCTCCCAATGTCCCGCAGATGCAGCCAGCACGGCAGGCAGCCACATCTCGGTTCCTTCCTGGGGCCCCTGGAGACCTGGCCAGTCCAGACTGGCTCCTCCGGGGACTTGCTTCTCAGACGCCCTTTGAACTTGGCTCCTGTGTTGGGTGCTGTGTCCAGGATTCTGTTTCCTCCTCACAGCTCACTCCCTCGTTTACTGCAGCAGGATTCTCAGCCATTTCATGAGAAGGGTACGGGGGAGACATCTTTTTGAGATCTCTCATATCTTAAAATGCAGTTATTCCATGCACACCGTTGATTGATATTTTTGCGAGGGGGAAATTCTGAACTGGAAAATCACGCCCTTCCCCAGTTTTGAGGGCTTGCCGCGTTTTCTTCCGGCGGCCAGGACGGCTGTTAGGAGTCCGGGCTGTCCTGGTGTCTGATCGTCGAGCATGCGCACTGTCCTTCCGCGGGTTTCCGCCTGGTCTCCTGACCTGGCCTGTGTTCATTCAGCCTCCTAGATTCTTGATGTGCAGCTTCTGCTTGGAAAACAGAATATTTTAGTGTGAAGAAATACCCTCTGATTTTGATAGTAACTGGTAAGTCCGTACGCCCCGTTTCTCGGATCTGTCTTTCTGAAAGTCCTGTTAATTGGAAAATGAGCCCCCTGGACTGAGGTCTGAATTTTTCATATTTTCTTTCTTATCACTCTCCCTATTATTTGACAGCATCTAGTATTTCGTGAGAGATTTCCTTATTTGCATCTTCAGTGTTCCATAGTTGTGCTAAATGGCAGTTCTATTTTACTCCCTAAGAGCTCTGTTATTTTCTCACCGCAGAGGTTCTTTCATGCTATTTCTTTTCTGTTGTATAAATTCAGTTCTTTCTCTTGTCTCTCTGGGGATGTTTGATATGCTTTCTAAAAGTTATTCTGTCATATTTGTTTTTTTTTGCATTTTATATATTTTGAGGCTTTATCATTAGCTGTAAAGACAACCTGAATTGTTATGTCAACCTTGGACCACAACACGTCTGCTGGTACTTCCTGACTCACATTCCAGCTTGTCTGATATTGGTACACTTGCCCCAGTGGTCTTGTATGAAGACCTTTTTCTGTCCTTTTCTCTCAACCTTCCTATGTGTTTATACTTACAAGTCTTCCACGTAGGGCATCCAGGTGGGTTTTAGACACAGTGACAGTCATTATCTTGTCTATCAAAAACTGACATAAACAACAGGTGTACAAGCAGGTATACAAATCACGCGTCGCCCTGGAGCAGTAATCTTAGAGTCATCCCTGCCTAGGACCTGTCCTCTCGTCCCCGGTCTTGGTCTGCCCCATACTGAAATGTCACCTCCGTTTCAGCGTCTGTGGACGCCAGAGTGTGCAGGACCTGTGGACACGAGCCAGGGCTTGAGTTTCCTTTTCAGTGGAAAGGGGAGTGTTGGAAAGCTCTGCTACTCCGTCGCTCCAGCTGCTGTACTGCGGAGAGGATGCAAGTGGAGGAGGGTAAGGGCAAGGGACCACTCCGCCCCACTGCAGTGATCAGGAGCGGAGGGGTGCTGGCCGGTGTCCAGTGGTACCAAGGAGCATGGGAGGGAGATGACAGATTCGGGATATACCTTAAACATGGAGTCAGCTAAATTTGATATTGGACTGGATTTGCAATGCGATGGAAAGAGAGGAATTGGGGAGTGTTTTCAAGGTTTTCACTCTGAGAAAATGGAAGGGTGAAGACCCCACTCACTGAGTGGCAAAGACCAAGTGAAGAGACTGGGAAGTTAGGATTTCAACTCCAGGTGCGTCAAGCCGTATTGAGCGTCTGAAACTTCTAGGGAAGTCGCCGTTGGTCTCTGATGAGTCTGCTGGATGAGTCTGGAGTCCGTGAAAAAGATCAGGAGTAAACATACAAACCTGGAGGTTGTTCATGTATAACCACAGACTGGACTGCTCCTCAAAGGAGTGGAGATGAGAGAGGAGAAGCAGCAAGGGAGGAACTTGGGACATCCGCCTTAGGAGTCCAAAACAGAGCCAGAAAGTGTGTTTTCCTGGAAGCCAAGTGAGAAACTATTGACAAAGAACTGAGTTACCAACCATATCAAATATTGATAGGGTAAGAGCGGGCACTGACCCCCGACTTCATGACAGTGAGGGTCGAGGGAGGCTGACGAAGCCTGTGGTTCTGGAGTGGGGGTGGGGCGCCAGTCTGAGCAGAAGGATTTACTAAGAAGAGGAGACCCCGAGCGGGGGTTTGGCTGCCGAGACGAGCAAAGAAATGTGGCGTGAAGAAGAGGCAGTGGGTTAAGGGAAGATTTTATCCTTGCTGGTTTTGCTTTCATTTTCTTTTCTTTCGTTCTTTTCCTTTCCTTTCTTTGTGGTTGGGCTACACGATTTTTTAAACAAATACATTGCAATTTTAGATTTGGAGGGGAAGTTATGACTCAGAATTGTTCAAGTTGCAGAAATTTTGTGATCAATGCCAGATTAACACGGAGGCCCGAGAAAGTAGGAAATACACGTGAAAGAGCTTTAACGCAGATTCATGGTTGTTCACTACTAAGCTCCAGGGAAATAACCTAGTGTGATGAGTTTAAATGTATCTGAATCACCTGAAATAAAACGCTATACAAGTGCACATAAATTATCTCATTCTTTCCAATGTAACTCTTACAATTTAAAAGGGAAATCAATCACGGGAAATATGAGACTGTTTTCTGCAGCCTTTTCAAAATGGCTCGTTTTAAAGCTTTTCCACACTAATGTGCATTAATTAAATCTCTCGCAGAGACTGGAGCGGAGTGGGGAGGGGGTGTTTAGTGGGTCTGTTGGAAATTATATGAATAAGTCTGAATTGTGATATATACACATCACACCATTATATGTATGTATCTGTATAAAGCATCAAAACTTAAGGGCCTCCAACGTCAAACCAGAGAGGAAGCTGTGAGTCACAAGGATGTGAAACTGCTTCCACGGCCGATACCGACTGTAGCACTTTCCCTCCAGGGAATTTCACAGTGTGATGAACACACATGGCGCTAGGATCCCAGGTCCGCGCTCAGTTCTGGCTTCCAAACGTCTGTCAGCAAATACAATGGAAACAAAATTCCAGTTTCTCTGCCGCTGTGAAACGTACCGCAGAGCTGACAACAGTGGAAACTCAAATCCACCTTCATCTGAGTCATCGGAATATTTGGAGTATCTGGAAAGCAAGACGAAAGTGAGAAGAGACCCATTTATTGTGCAAAATCTGAAATTCCATTACAATCCACACCTCATCTCCGGCTTCACAGTAAGTGGCCAGATTTTAATTGTATGTAGTGGGTGCCGCATCCGTGCTCTCTAAGTTGGACTCTATTCCAAGAATTTTCAAGATTTGCAGATACTAACTACTATATATATAAAACAGACAAACAACACATGTCTACTGTGGAGCACAGGGAACTATGTTCAGTATCTTGTAGTGACCTCTAGTGAAAAAGAGTATGGAAGTGAATCTGTGTATGTACATGGATGACTGAACTGTTGTGCTGGACGCCAGAAGTTGACACAACATTGTAAACTGACTACACTTCAATTTAAAAATTTTTTTTAATTAATGATGCCACCCATAACAGTAGCAGGATGTGTTATCCAAAAAGAAAAATTGAAATTGAAACAAATTAAAAATACATGTCAACACGAGGAGAATTGAAGTTGTGTCTTCATGAAAATGATTGATATTTCTAGTGTCGGACGCAAATTCAGTTTGCATGAAAACTGACATTTCAGTCTACCCGATTCGTACAAATCCACCTGGGACTGAGTATCATCCTTTGGAAAAAGTTTATTGTAAAACACATGTATGTGTCAGACGATTGCTTTGGGGTGTGAATCTACATAAAATGTACAAACCACAACTTCAGTTTTGAACTCATTTAATTACTTACTCTCACAGGTTCAGTTCCCAGAATCCGTCTTCCTTATAGGCAACTTCCTGAATCGAAAAGAACGTGTGCGAATAGGGAGTTACACTTCAGGCTGGCAACGCACCTAGCTTACCGACTGGCTTTGGGTAAGCTAGGGGGACATCCTTCTGTCCACGTGGAGACAAGTTCTGTTTTTCTTGGTCGTTCTAATTTCACTGAAACCAAGACCTCAAGGATCTCTTGACTGGACCTGTTTTCCTAATTCCTGTGTTAATGAGGAAGTGGTATCACATGAAGCATAGACGTGAGTAGGAAGGCACTGCTAAGCTTATGGAGCTGGACTAAGTCCTCAAGCACAACACATGCCTGCAGGTCGCAGGCTGGGTCCAGAAGACAGGTCCTAACACAGATTAGCATGCAGGAGGGGGTCGCCAGGTTTTCTGGGGGAAATGAGGGGCAAGAACAAAACTGGGAAGAGTGATGGTTGAGCTGCCCTTGGTCTTAATGGAAGCCTCAGCCAGGCTGATGGAAGGTTCTGGGGGTGGGATAAACCAGCAAATCCAGAGCTCTCCTGACGTGCGGTGTCTCACGGCCCCGTGCCCTTCAGTTGTTTGGATCTGAGCCACCCTGGGAAGGCAGCTCTCGGCAGCAGGGGTAGTCCTTGAGGATGGGGAGCAGCCATCCTCTGGGTGCACTGGAAGCAGCTGGGGTAGTAAACACTCCATTCCTGGAGGGGGCTCGGCCGGAACCACAGTCCGCCTGTCACAACCAACCACGTGCTCAGTATCGATTCTTAGAAACGCTCCTCCAGGAGGCGGATGGGTCTCTCCTCCTGCGGGAAATACAGAAGACGGAGGCCAGCAGGAAGAGCGGAGGCCCTGAGTGTTGCAGCTCTCGGGGCCGAGCTGTGCTTCTCGCCTTCCCCCTCCACACCCACTTCCCTGGCTCGCAGTCTCTCAAGTGAAGACACTGGAAGACACTGGAGGCTAATCGCCGAGATGCTTTCCTGGGAGTTGCAAGCACTTAGCCTCTCTGTAGGCAGTAGGTTCTGCACCTGAAGACTGGCTTCACTTGGAAAATGGCAGAGGACCATGACTTTTAATGGGGGTGACTGCCCTCCACCTCGCGACTAGTCCTCCTTTATGTATTTGCATTGCGCAGCCCTGGGTGGGTGCCTCTGGGGGTGCTGCATTTTACTAACAGTGTCCATGACCCTCCGCAGGTGGGAGCTGCCGTCAAGCCCCGCCGGGCATTCGGATTACTCAGTCCACCTGGCTTACGACAGTGAGGCACCCCCTGTTGGCTCTGTTGTGTCAGAATCCAGTCCTCCGACCGGATCTCCGTCGGTAGGACTGGCTTACGCGTGCACCCCCTCCTGTTAACCCCAGCCTACGAAGGAGGCCTTCTGCACAACTTCCTGGGGACGCCGGGACCCTTCCATCGGTGTGTGCTCTACCCTGCTACACGGCGCACCTCCCGGCCCCCAGCGTGGTGCCCGGCCGCAGTCTGAGCGCCCAGCCCGCCCACGTCTAAGACCTCGTTGGTCCCTCCCTCCCTCCCACAGATGTGCGTCCAGGCATTTCCGCCCCGCCTCGCACGTGCCGTCACTGTTTTCCACGCGGCGGGGCAACACCCGGCGCAGGCACCCTCACCTCTCCGGGCCCCTGCTGGGGTGTTAAATCCTCCGTCTCCGGAGAGTTCGCCCAGGATATAAAAGCTTTCGTAGCCAGTATTACGATGCCCTTGTCTTCGTCGGGCGTGCTCAGCACCCAGTCCTGTGTGTGCCTTCTGGACGCTGCTGGTCCAGGGTGGCTAGGTCTCGCTGCTCCTCTGGGTGTAACCTCTGCAAGGAGCGATGCATGGAATCCCCAGCCGCGCCAGGAGGGCACGCTGGGGCTGGGACCACGTGGCCACACGCCCTCCTGAGTGGCAGGAAGGGGCAGGGCTGATTCTCCCGGTGGCCAATCAGAGAGCAGCACCACCCAGAAGAGGCGTGGTCGTGAGGACCCGTCGCCCGCGAGGCGGGTCCAGGGTCTGACGGCGGACGGCAGTGTGCAGGTGGTGAGAGGCGCATCCATCCTTCCCTGGAATGGATCTGGGTGGCTCCCCACGTCCAGCAGAGTGCCCGGCGCTGCCCCTGATGAACTGTCGCACCGCCCCTCGCTGCCGTCCTGGGGGGCCGGCCCTCGTCTCTTCTCTTCGTTACATGATCCGGCAGCGCTTACTTGCTGTTTGTCTTCATTCCGGCCCCTCGATCCCTTCCTCACGCTGGCTTCTCAGCTCCCTCCCACCCCCATGGCTGGTCTCCGTCTCTGTCTCCGGGAATCACCACCTGACTTCACCACTAAGTTCTTAAAAGAGGCGCGCAGCCCTTCTCTCAAAGACAGCCACGCAGGTACGAGTGGGTTGTACTCACGGTCACGTATTTCCTTAACGGGGGGGGGGGGGTTGCACTTGAATTACGACGCTGATCTCTTTGAACAGGGCCCTGTTTTCAGCCCATTAAGAGACACGTCCATTTTCAGGCAGACTGGCTTAGATGAATGGTATCTTTTAGGCAACTGTCTCAAAGTGACATTAAAGTCTATTTGGATTAGATACTTACATCCTGGGCCTCATCAGACAGTAGAAATTTCATAGGATGCAACGTCATCATGAAATTGTAAAATAGGTTTTTCCTTTTCTTTCTTTTTTTCCCCTCTTTTCTCAAAGCACAAGATTAAAGTAAGCTTTGCTCTAAGGTAGCTTGGATATGAGTTTCCCATTCACTGTGGGAAACCTTTATGACTGACAGCATTGTTTGGGCTACCTAATAAGAGAAACAGTTGATACCGTGAAGGCCTCTGGCTAAACTCTGGCTCTGGGATCATAAAACCTCTCCCATTTACAGAAATAAATTACATTATGTTCCTTTCCCCTGTTTTATAGCTGCAAATACCATGTTTTGGTAGACAAAGAACCAGCTATCCGCCTGTCCCTACTGGAAATTTCTGACAGATGTTGGGTAACTGCGGCTCTCGTGGATGAGAAGGGGTTGTGTCAAGATATCTCCTCCTGGGGGGCTATTAGTCCCTGGTCCGAGATGTGCTGAGGGGGAGAAGAGAGGAAAACAGGGGCCCTGACATTACAGCCATTTATCACCCACTGCTGCGTGTAGAGTAAAGAGATTCTCTTCCAAGATAGTCTATTATCTGCCGCTTGCTGGCTTCCTGCTGGCATATGTTTTTTTCAGTAGTCAATAAATTGCTGAAGGCCACATTTGGAGAGTAAGTACTGCTGTACGTCTGACTTTATATATTGTTCTTTTATTTACGGCAGCGTTTGCCCATTTTCTTGAAGAATCTAGTATAGACGAGGAGGTGGGTTTTTTTGTTTGATTTTTTTGTTTTGTGTCTTTACTTACCGTGTTGTTTCATTGATGATTGTTTACCAAATGTATTGTTATAATGAATAAGCCAGTGAAACATACGCATTTTTAAAACTCTTGCCCCTGGCTCAGGGCGCTGAACGGAGGCACACACACACTTTCATCTGCAAACGTGTGATTCCTTCCACCTTTCCTCACATCTCATCTCTCTTTCCATCGACGCATTTCTTCTATCAGTGTGTTGTTCACCATCTGGGACCCTATACCCAGTGCATTAATTGATGTTAAAAGCACTGCTTTCTTTTGACACTGAACCCTTGCCTGGGTAAACAGGGAATTCGTTCCTAAGCTCTA